TACTTCATAAGAAAAAATATAGTTTCACTGTCATGGTTTTCATATTTTTATTTTTATAACAATAAAAATAAAAAAAATGCAATAATTGAGGAAAGCAGAAAAAAAACAAAGGTCAGGGAAATTATCAAAGTAATGGTTACATTACACTGATTACCATTTACACTTTAGGATGGTACTATCTGTCTATCAAGGCACGGGTGGCATAATAAAAAACTGAGCCTGTGTTGGCGTCAGACCTGGACTGAGAAAGATGGTCTTAGAACCTGCTGCCCTTTTAGGGGAGCCCTTAACATCGTACCGCATTCTCTCCAAATGAAGAATCTCAGTAAAATCACTTACCCACATTTTGAACTGAGGAACCTTGTCAGTTTTCCACAATCTTAATATTACTTTTTTAGCTATTACCATCCATACGCCACAGTTGTTTGTATTGCAGTCCTGAGGTACTAAAGCAAGGGAGAGTATCCAAATAATGTAGTCTGGGGTCTGGAATCAAGGCCCATTTATACACTTCAGAAACACATTTGAAAATGTTGCACCTATATTGGTAGAGCTGGGAGCATGACCAGAACAGATGTGTCAAGTAGTCATCAGCGGACTTACATCTGTCACATTTTGGAGATATTGAGGGGAATATTCTGTGCTATTTTGTTATCGAATTGTGAAGACTGTGAAACACCTTGAACTAAACTGTACATTGATAGAGCTTGACTGAATCCTCCCCGGACCCTCCTTCCAGACCTCAATCCCAATCCGCAGTCTAATTTGCAAATATCTAAAGGGAGAAGTGGTCCCTCAGAAATGCCAATTAAGTAAACTTTTTGTCAATGTACAAATTTTTCAGTGTAGTTAGGCCTTTTAGTCTCCAATTCTTTATTTTATATCAGATAGTGATGATTGTTGTACTTCGTATGTGGCCCACCCAGATAATGTTGCTTACGGGCCTATTGTTGTGTCGTTACGCCATTGAGCAGTGTAATCCCAATCCCCCCATCTCTCTTGGTTTCTGTAAATGATATTCTATGTGCTGTAAAACCCCAGAGAAAAGGCTAAACTAATGAGTCCAGCAATTATAAAAAAAAAAAAAACCCTTGCTGAAAATATAGGCAGACCCTGAAAAAGATAATAAAATTTAGGCAAGGACACATTTTTAATGGAGTTTATGTGGCCCATCATTTAGAGTGGGAGAATTCTCCATCAATATCTTTCCGAAGATTATCTGCTTTTACTAAAAAGTTAAATTTGAAAATTTGTTTGGGGTCATTCGGCAAAAATAACTTCTTGATATTTCAGTTTTTGTCTTTGATGTTTTTATATGACACACAAAAAAAAAATGAAGAAACTCATTGCTTTCATACAGCCACTTGCCAATCGGCATCCAAAGCTCATCTTAAAAGGCTTCCGATACGCACCTGTCTGCTCCTGTGCATAGGCGGTGGATGCGCTGTGACTTCTTTCAGATGACCCCGTTTCAACCCACCTTCAGCCCCTCCTCCACCATCTGAGCTAAAGCTTCATTAGAGTGTCATTCCACCTCTTACTTTGTTCCCTTTTCATCTTAAAGGGGAACGCTGTTTTTTTTACATTGGGCTCCTTGATTTCACGTTATTACATCATCTTCTACTCACCCATATTAGTTTTATGTGTTTTGGAGCAGTTCTGAATATATTCCATTAGGTTATATTCAAGTAACATTTTCCTGTGGGCAACGACTTGAAGGCACAAACTAAACTGTTCATAGTTTATTCTTTATCGTACGCCAGCATTCATTACATGTAGGCCAATCACTGTCCCCCAGACATTCACGGTTATATTTTTTTATATTTTTATCTTTTAAAAACAAAGCGGCGTGTGTATGACGTCATCCACGCGCGCCGGCTAGATGTCTAGTGCTACTACCACAGAGGATCTCGCTCTCCAAATGGAATTGAATGATCCAGATTACCAAGCTGAATGTATAGAAGGGGTAAAGTTTCCTGTTACGACTCCAGACTGCATGCGCGGATGGTGCTATACTGTTTTTCCTCTCTACTGATGCTCCATGCTTGCTCTTGCTCTTTTTTGCCAAAATCAACAATCTTTTGTTAATACACACATTTAAGAAGCATTTATTAATGGGCATATACTTGAGGAAATGTACAACATTAGGCTTTTGTATGTAATCATTTAAATACATTTCGTCTGTATTGGTAGTTGATTGTCCATTATTTCAATTTATTTATTTGCTAATAGCTCTACTGGCATTTGCTTCCTTCAGAACATGTCCGAGCTGGCTGTTTGCTCCAAGGCAGCTTTAGGGCGACGTGAGCACCAGACCCTGCAGCACCGACATCACCAGCGCTCCCGTTGCCGCCCCCCCAAAGGCATGTACCTTACGCAAGAGGACGTAGTGGCTGTATCCTGTAGTGCTTCTGCTGCTAACACACTCCTTCGTCAGCTGGACATGGAGCTGGTGTCCCTTAAGAGACAGGTAGAAGGCGCTGCAACAAACCTTGTTTTCTCACTGACTCCTCACAAACCCTTTACTGGCTAAAATATCAGCCAGAGGGATAAAAGTCACAACAGTGAAGGAAAAAATAATGGAGAATAAATTGAAATTAAAGGAATTTAAAACAAAAACATCTATAAATCAAAACATGAAAGTCAATAACAGAAAGGATATTCCAAAGTTTAGAACATATCACAGGTAAGGCTCTGTCTCCCTGACAACTAAGCCCAGACCTGGGAACAGACAGCCTTCATTGTAGCGTATACCTCATGGTTCTTTTCAAGCAGAAAGAGAGAGCAGAATACACCAGATACCAAAACACGAGGGAATCAATGTTGAAACGGAAAGTATGTTAAGCAAAAATGTTGAATCTATGCTGAAGGCACAAGCAATTATACAAAAAGCAGTCAGTGACTTGCATCTTGTCTCGTTTTTCTTTCTGCTAGTTTTTGTTTTTGGTTGCCATTTATTTCTAGTTTGTTAAGTTGCCCAAAAAAAAAAAATGGAAGGAGAAATGCATCTTTCACATAGGAGAAAAAAGAGAGACATGGAAACATTGTGATTCCATACAGTAGATTATGAGAAGCATAATTTCAAACCCAACAAGATACTCTGACAAAAACTGATTAATCCCAAAGACAGAAGACCCAAAGCAAAGCTGAGCAGTTTTGTTTATCCTGTTCAGCTTAAACAACGCTGACTAGAAACCAAACGACTACACAAATGCAGGATGCAGCACAGACAGCCAGTAGCTCTTGACAAGATTCCACTGGACACTTCGTCAAGAACAAAGGACACATCCTCCAAAATGTCCAGATCTTGGGCAGATGTTTGAATAGGGGGTGGTAGTACGCCATCTTTGTTTAAATACAGATAACAACAGCTGACAGAACTGACAACCAATCCTGAATTTGAGACAAGACGTCTCTAGAAAAACTGAGCAAATATCTGGTTGCCTCCCATTTAAGCTTGTTTTGACATACATTTTGAATCATCACAAGGTTTTCAGTCATAACTCATACTATATCAATGTTGATTCAACCATTTACTAAATTTGGATCTACATGTACATGTATGTTGATTTGATAAAATATTTTACTTTCCCAAAGCCACAGTGAATAATACATTACCATATGTGTGAACACAGACTAAAAAAATAAAATAGCATGAATATTGAATTTTATTTAGGAAAATTTTCATAGGTTTAGAGAGCCAGCTATCTGTTCCCTAGCAACAGGTATGCGTGACATAGCAACAAATATTGATTATGATAGCAGGTCTATACCATATGCTTTTTGTAGAGATTAAAATAACCAAATAATGCAACTGACAGCACAAGGTTCATGTCTGGGTCTTAAAATGTCTCCATTGAGTTGAGAGATCTCTACAATCTTTGTGTTTCCTTCTTTCAAGAAGGTGGGGGTCTTACTGGCCTCATTATAAATGAACCATTCACCGGGCAAAGGTGTCCACAATATTAACTGGGAAACTGTCCAAAACAGGTTGTAAACAAGCCAACAACAATCTGATCTCTGATTATACCTACTCCTGAGCAGGTCTGAAAAAGCTGGTGCCTGTACTGAAAAAGCAGTGAAATTGATGGGGTGAAGTGGAGCCATGCAGAGTGGAGCCCCTGAGACACAGTCTAGACTTTTTCCATCTCCTCTCAGCACAGCTGCATTTATATCCAATGGCTTTAGTTAAGGCTAGATGGCAAGACTGCACAAGCAAAATATTGGTGAAGGCAGAATTAGGCAGATCTGTAACAAAGTACAAATACTTAAGTACACTTTTTTAGGTATCTATACTTTTCTGCATTACTTATTTTTGACTTCTTTTCTGACTTCTACTCATTACATTTTCACAAAAGTATCTGTACTTTCTATTCCTTACATTTTTAAAACAAACGTTACTCGTAACTCTTGGCTTCGGTTTAATGCAGAGGTCAGGGATTAGCGGACCGCGGTCCGGATCCAGACCCACCTGCTGGCTAATCCGGACGCAACCTGTTTTAAAACATTTATAAATTACTGCATGTTGTCCGACGACAGTGTCTAAAAGTCACTTGCGCCACTTTTCCTGTTATCCTGAAATCCCACATCCTCCTCTCCGCTCCTCCCCGCTGCGCTAAGGGGTGTAAATAATAATCATTTTGTATCGATGCATCAATCAACGGCCGATGATCCGATGCATCGACACATCCGCAAGAGTATCTATTCATGATATTTTTTTTCCTCCGGTGTATTTTTATCCATTTGCTCCTGGACGTATTTCTCCCTCCTGTGCTGCGGTGGCGCTAAATCTATTTTGCCCTCCTACCTCGCTTCCTGGTTATACTCTTACAGCAGTGTGATGCAGTGAGCTTGACACAGATATTTTTGATTTATGCTCAATGTGGAAGCATGGTCTGTGCTACACACTGTGGGTCTAGATACTCGCCCCCACTTCCTCACCGCCGAAGCGGTGAGGAAGTGGGGGCGAAAAAGGGACATGAGGGCCAAAAAGAGCGGAGATCCAGGTGGAAAAAGAGTCCCAGCTTTCTCGCGCACCTCGCTGTTTTAGCTGGTCCAACTTCAAGAGTTGTTTTACGCAATTTCGGTCATAAAAACAAAATAAGCCGGCCTCCTGTCTGCGGTCAGCTGCAATTTGGGAGAGGAGCAGCGGAGCGTCTGTGGAGGGGGCGGGGACATCTGGAGCCGAGATATTGCATTGCACTCATTGCACTGATTTTGTGCAGTATTTTTTGATGCAAAGCCTTTCAAAATCTATAACGCAGGGGTATTATTACTTTTCAGTGAATGAGGTTTTAATAATGATATTATATTATAATGATAACGATATTACAGCTTTCATTGATTTATTTCAAATTTGACACATTGGCTAGCCTTTAAGGTGTAAAAAAAAAAAAAATAATAATAATAATTATTCGAATAGAATTGTATCGTGGTGTATTCTTGAGTATCGAAATTAATTGAATCGTTGGGTCAGGAAATTGATACTGAATCGAATTGCCATGATGGATGTGATTTACACCCCTAGCTGCCCTCCAGACCTCCTGCAAAGCAAAGCCTACAGCCTCAGCTGTTCCTCCTGTTTTGCTGCGCTCTGACTTCCTCTGAGCTTTAGGAGAGCATGTGTGATATTATCATTAAATTCGTAGGAGCAAAACTTGCAGAAATGAACGCTTAATTTAATGATATATGAAAAAAATCCCCATCAGGATCCAGCATATGTGCGGTTTCTGACGGAGATGAGTAGTAGCAATAGTTTGCATTCAATCTTTTAAATAAACTGTGTTAGTTTTTTTGGAATTCATAAGAATTATGCTGTAATCTGTAATTACCGATCTGTTGTCACTATATTTTAATCCGACAAACCAGATCTTCTCGCTGTTCTTTCTCCTGTTTGGTGCGATTGCAATAGAGGATCTTTGACCTGAACGGACCTGAGTGGAGCCTGAACATTTAGAGGATGTTTGGCTCAACCTGCTGCTGTGAAGCAGGATTCTCCACCATGAACAGAATCAAAAATAAATCTGGATCCAAGCTCAAAATGAGCATCTTGATATGTGCTTGAGAATGGCTTAGTCTCCATTCAAACCCAGGTTTAAAGCCTTGCAGGGCAGCCTAAAGCCCACTGCCAACATTAAGACGGAAAAAAGAAAGAAAAAAAACAACTGTTCAGGTGTTTTAAAAAAAATACAATGCCACCGTTTTTGGCATTTACTTAATCATATTTAGTTACTTTAACACAATTATTTTATGGCCTAACCTGCTAACATGAAACAATTGTGTTAAAGTAACTAAATATGATTAAGTAAATGCCAAAAATGGTTGCATTGTTTTTCAGTGTATGTTAATCAGGAAATTGCCTATATACCAAACTGAAAGATTGTTGTTCTCTACTTCAAAAACACTTTAGATTTTAAAATGGAAAAAGGTTTAAAATAATTTTTTATTTAAAGATTCAATGTATAACATGAATGCTTAAACACCTCATTTTATTTAAGTGTTAAATTATGTTTAAAGTAACAGATCATTAAAAATGTCTCCGGACCTTTACTGGTTGATGAATTTGGTTCAGACCCTGCTGATTTTTAATTGGTTCCCCCTGGTTTTAATTTTATAAATATTTATTTCCCATCATGTGCTCCATCCAATACAGATCATTGGCTCCATCCACATCTAGTGAAAACTAGAGTCATTGGATGAGTCATATAATGCAAACACTCATTGGTTAGCTAAAGGAAATCATCAGAAACAAGCAGGTGTTCTTCAAACTGCTAACGTGAATTGTCTATGCCATGCTACAATGATGGATTCATAAAAAGATGTTGAAATGTCTGAAAGGTCGGACACAGGCGAGAGCGTATCGGGAGACGGAGACCAACCAGACCTCCCTCATCCTTGGCCCTATCTCAGAGAATTTATAGAAATAGTTGAAAAATTTAGCTTTCAGTTCAAATAGTGAGATCTGGCTGCTTTTTTAAAGGTTACTTTATACTTTTATACTTTAAGTAGTTTTCGGAACACATACTTTTTCACTTTTACTTGAGTAAAGAGGTCAAGTTGATACTTCAACTTTTACCAGAGTGTTTTCAAACTGCAGTATCTATACTTCTACTTAAGTTACAAATGTGTGTACCTTTGACACCACTTTCCAAGCCTAGAGGAAGCACCATTGCAGGTGTTATTCATGAACAGGGCAGACACCCACTGCTTTAAATTTTCTAAAACAGATTCAAGTTATCGACCACAGGTATAGATTTTGAAAAGGATGGATAGCAACACCACAGTTGATTAAAAAAATTGCTCAGTCTATAATTTATTCCAGGTATGAAATCAGAAAATATAAGCATAAAGTCCTTATAACTTTAGAACTATAAATACGTACACATGGCCCATTACTGCTTGATTCAATTCATTAAGCTAGAGTTGCAAGCTGGAGAGCTTGGAACTCGAGCTTGACCGCAGTTTGAAATA